CGGCAGTGGTCATGCAGGAGCTCAGAGGTGAGGAACCCAAGCGCAAAGGTGCAGATTAAACGAGGAATCTACTGGAACCTCCTTCCCGCATCCAACATCTTAGCGGGACAGGGGGACGTACATTGGATGAAAACAATGTGGAAGAGCTAATCGCTGAGACCTTCGTCGCGAAGTAATAACTAACGGTCGTGCGGCAAGGGATTAAAAGGTTAGTGAATTTGTCTGATTGGAGTTGAGTAGGATTGGTCCTTGTGATCGGAGCCCGACATACCCCAGTTGTCGGAGAAAATCTCGTACTCTCTCCCTTAAGTGGGAATGCATAAATGCATTCTCCCAACAGATATTAAAAAAAAAAAATACACACATACAAACATGTCTTCAAAAACATATCAGGATGATTTTAGGGGTCATGAAACGTCGACAAATCATGAAAATTCCAATTTTGATTTTCGGGGTAATTACAATAACTTCTTCCCTTAGGGTCGGGAAGTTAAAAATAAGTACTTCACTACACGTTGAATTTATATGAACACCTCATAATGGGAATTTTAAAAAACTACTTTGCGACGAGTGTGACTGTCGCAGCGTCACGTAAAATTGACATGATAATAAAAATAAATCAACATTAAGTCTGAATCTCGGAGGGAGCTCCCGCTCCCTTTTCCCCTCGAAAAATACCCACTATTGAACCATCGGAGCAACGTCAAGATGATGATTCGCGTGCTAATCCTAGCATGATTTGTCGAAGTTCAACGGTCGGAGGAAAGAAGAGGACGACCCCGAGAAAAATCTCTTGGGGTCACATCAAGACGACCCCAACACCTGACACTGTACTCGAAACGCTAAAGGAAGGACGGAGAAATACAAGGATGAGAGAGACAGGATGTGTAGAGCTGCGGGGATATTCAACCCCGAAGATGAAGAAACTGTAGGAAATCATCGGGAAGCGGCGCGAATAACTATAGTTTAATTTCTTACCCAACAGTGCACAGGTTCAGTGGTCAATGGTCAAAATATTGAGAATGTCCAGGTGGAGGAAGGGGGAGAAACTCCGCCCCCCGATATTATTCTGATTTTCGGGAGACTGATGGCTGACGTGAGAATGCCACTGCTCCGGAGTTCTCTCCGAGACGTAGTAGCTAACAGATAACAGTAACAGATTTTTAGTTTAACAGTATAACAGATTAATAGTAACAGAATTGAAGAATAATTTAGAGATTAGCATCAGAATTGAGGATTCTTGAAGGCTCAAGTTGTGAGCATAGTTTTGAGAATATTCACTGGAGGCAAGACCCGATTTCCGGCAGTTTCACGAGTTGGACGCTTCCTGGACGACCCTGGGCGACCGCTGAACTTCGTGCACTGGTGATTGTGAGAAAAGTACCCACAATAGTGGTTTTTCACTCACATTTCGCGGTTTCAGATCACTTTCGGAGGATTTTCCCCTTCATTGGAGATTTATGGTTTTGGATTTGTAATTTAATTTCATTTATACTAAATTTTGATTATTTTGGATCATTTCTGCGTCTCAATTCTATTGTGTCGATTCCACGAATTATTGCGTTGAATTGTCGGACATTCCGAACCGTTTTGAATTGAATTTATCATTTTCTTTTTGTATATAATTTTCTTTACTATTTTGTTATATAATACATGCGTGATTCTTTGGAGCATTACCTTTTGTGTTTCGTGTTTCATTTCGTGGGAATTTGGGTGTTGTTGGGAGTTGTTGGGAATTCGAAGAGTTCCATTCGTGGGAGTTTCGACCTCCCTCCCCCTCGTCATCAGAAGTTCGGGCATTTGGCGGAGAAGAATAAGGAGAATAATTAATTTCATTCGTGTTTTTGTCTATTTTTCACTTATCGAATAATATAGACTGGCGCCTAGTGGTAACCAGGCGTCAATGTTTCTCTATAGATGGTTAATTATTAATTTTTAAATATTATTTTTGATTTTTACTAATTTGAATTTCGGCACAACTTTTAGAAGGAAAAGCGTAGAATATGGGATGGCATCTACATGAGCATACAGGTTACTAAGTGTAATAGCTCAAGGGGGTTCAATTCATTGAAAATCGTCGAAATACTTCAAGATCATATATAACAACTTAAAATTGACCTATCAATATCTTTGAAAAATTCAAGGTGCTATGTTATTTAATTACCAAAATGTCAATAGAAAAATTAAACGTCAGAATTTTTTGTTTAGTTATCGTGAGACAACCGATTTTCGAGAAGAATCAAAAATTAAAAAAATTGCTGGCCAATTAAATTTCAATTAACGTCAATGGATAAGGCTCAATAATACCTACATTTAAGAAAAAGAAATGATTCAATTCCATGGATTCATTAGCGAAGAATTAAAAGAAAACTTCACCACATTCATACACTCATACACACATTCGTATGGACACGGTCTAAAAATTGCATGTTCGGTCTTGTTGGATCATAATGGGTTGATATAACACAATAAATCCAAATCTTAAATTTGAATGTTTACAATGCTTCCATTCGGAAGCAAAAATTATAGAGAGTATGTGAGTGCTACTAGCGAATGAGCTACCTATTGAATTCTGCAACTTGGAATTGCTTTTTAAAAAATTTCATATTTTTTTACAATTTTGTGAATGTTTTCCGATTATTAGCGAGTGACATTTTTTTAGCTTTCAGGTTGAATAAAAAATGTATCGCTGGTAGGAAAAATCTGAAAAAATGATTGTCTTTTTGAGGCGAATAAACCATATAAAAAATTGCGAGCAGATTCTAAAGAGCTTATGTCACAGGTGGTCGAGTTGAAATTCAATACCCCATTTTCATTGCTAAAGAAAATTAAAAACAATTATCATTTTTCATAAGCCACTAAGAACCTCTCAAATCAATTATAGCTCATTTGTTAATCGCTCATTATGCAATCAATGTCAAACTAAAGGTGCCACTCGCATATTTTCGTTGAATTATATTTCTAATGAATATTTCTTTTGTGACATCCGTCGAAAATACAATATAACAGTAAATTCCTTTTAAATTAACAAAAAATTATTTCCCAACGGAAAACCGTTGGAAGTTAAAATTCTCTCTCGCGTTGAATTTCTTTTTATTTTTGAAGGCCAAGGGCCAGCTGCAAATCGTAAATTGTCGGGAAACATTTTCAAAACTAAATTTTCTTCGAAAAGCCGGTCGTAAAGTGATAGACATGGGTCATGCTCTTGTCGCGCCAAATACTCTCCAAGTGCACGCCCAGCCTATCTCTCTCTATCTCTATTGTCCTCCGACGTTTCCGTAACGCGTCGAGTGGGCAAGTGCATTTGGGAATTGGGGAATTTTCCCTTCTTAGCGTAGGGTCTGTTCATTTTCAAGGCTCAGACCCTCATAAACTTAAAATTCGAAACTCTCGTTCCGAAAATTTTACAAGGGGATATTTGAGTTTCTCCTGGCGACAGGAAGTAATAAATCTCCTTTTGACAATTTTCGATGTTTTAAAAAAAAATATTGTTTGTTATTAACAAATTTCAGTTTAATAAACTCAGAATTTTTAGACGATCATTTTGATCTAAAAATCTTTTCGTTACGATAATTTAAACCGGAGGTTTCTGAAATTATCGTAACTCAAATGATAATTCAAATCAACTGTTCTCTAATTTTATCAAATGAACTCAATTCAATTATTTCTCTCTACAACTATTTTCAATTAAATTCAAATGAATTATTATTCAAGTTTGATTATATTTTGATTTTCACGTAAAATAATAATTAATCCTATTGATTGAATTCAGTTCAATTCATTTTAGATTCATTTCTTTAAAATACAAAATTCAAGTACTCCGGAAATTATTTAAACTTATGGCTCAAGTCTATTTTTAGTATAATTAAATTATTTCAGAATTTGAATATTTAAAGACAGAGAAATAAGTCTCTTTCAAATTAATAAATGATTGAGTTTGAATTGCGAATAATTCAAACTCAAATAATTTACCTTTTGTTTAAAACGGAAAGAGAACAACGTAAATAGATTAATTACTTTATTGTTATTAAATAATTTTCTATTTTCATTTTTATTAATATTTAGATAGTTATCATTATCAACGTAATCAAAAGAATATTGTTAATCAATAGTAAAGTTAATTTTTAATAACTAAAAATTGTTAGTCAAGTTAACAGTTTGTGGAGGGAGAAAATGGGTCCTCCCGAAGCAAAACCTCATTGGTAGTTGGGGGTGGAAAAGTCCGCCCACACCCCAACATCTCCATGTGGAGAGGTCGGAATTAACCCTGACACATTGGGACCGGGAGTGTCAGGAGTGAAAACTCTGGGCCAAGGTGAGAGACCATTGGTCCCCAAGTTTTCGCGCCCTTACATCTGGGGACACACCCTCAGGCTGAGGATACAAAACCACTTGCGCGTCGTTTTGCTCCTCAGTTCCATCGTAGCTCATTTTAGCTAGTTTTCAACACTAGTTTATTTTCAAGTCCTTCGTGACAAATTTGGTTTTAAGTCTTTCGTGACTTATATTTTTTGTGTTTTTAATTAGTGTAATATTTGGATTGTGTCGAGTCAATATTAAAAAAAAATTAAAATCAATAAGATAGTGCGGCATTATTGTTCAAGTGAAAAATTGTGAACCATACTGGATTAGCAGAGATCAACAACTGTGAGTCTTGTGAATCTAAATTTTCAGTGTTTTATTTTATTCTCTTTTTAAAATATAGACTCTCTGGAGTCATTTTAAATTAAAACTTGTGTTCGAATTTTCTTTCAATTCCCTATATCCAGTGGGGTTTATTTTTTGGGAATTATTCCAAATTACAATTCGAATTTCCTCCCTTGTAAATTCTATTAAATAATATTAGCTGAAGTGACCTATCTGGTCTTGAAAGCTCAATCATAAATTTTAGATCATGTCATTTGGTTCATTTTGAGGTGACACTTTATTAAAAATTTTCTCGAATTTGAATGGAAATATAGAGTGAGAAGAATAAACAAAGAGAATTGAGCATGAATCACCTAAGGGAAGCTCTATATCCTGAAGACCCTCGCAGATAACGAAATTGCTGACACATTCGGCTAGGTACTCGAATAAAGGCATTCCAGAGCCAACTCTCAAATGAGCATCTATGTGGTATTTCTTTACATCCTCTCGTACTACTACGCCGTTAACAAGCTCTAATAAGAGTACACGAAAATTTGTACCTCCCAGATCAAGGGCCAAAAACAATCCCTCCTCTGCAATAACAAAAAAAAAAAAGAATTGAAAAACAATTGACGACAACTCATTTATCGAAATAGTATATTTCGTTACGAGTGCGGAGTGCGACTCGCCTTCGGCTCGTGCTATAAACCTTCCACGAGCCAAAAAACATTTTTCCCACGAGTATCGAACGATATTTTTCATCACAATGTGTGGAAAAGGGACGATTAAAAAGTCACTTTTTCGCACAGCGTGATGAAAATGAAGTTTCAATATGATGAGTACGATTTATAATATAAATATTACTACTGACACTTATAATTTTTTCATGAATGGATGGGGACTGATATTTTGTTTCCAATTACAACTCATTAAATTCACTCACCTGTTCCGTCAGGTAATTCAGGGATATACGTATTTTCCATCTGCAGTGATGAATCCTGCTGATGAATTCCTTTATTCATTTCTGATAAAAATACATTCTGAATCTTCCTCGCAGTAGCACCAGACAATCTCATCTGCGCCAATAAATTCTCAATCTACAATTGGATTTAAAAAAAATGAATTAAATTAAACTAGTAATTAAAATCTTCCTCAGAAAATTTTCAATCGTCATCGAATAAGAATATCAATTATTTTAATTCGCATCTGACGATGTGAATGTGCAGACTGAACAATTTTTTCTTTTCTTTCAATTTCAACTATTCCGTTGATGGTAAGCTTCTGAATCGATTCCTAGCAGGGTTGCCAGGTTGGATGACTTGACGCCAATTCGACGAATCTTAATATGCCTTTGGCGCCTTATAATAACTTTTGCTGACTTAACGATCATTCGGCCATTTTTTAATTTCCGCCACAGGAAAAAAAGAAGCAAAACATCTATTTTTGTAGTATCAAAAAACGAATTCCTTGGTTCTTCTGAACTATTTTCGTCTATTTTTAAGCATTGAGGTTTACCTTGGGATCCTTAACCTACTTGTTAAGGTAATGTAGAGCAGAAGAAAAATAAGCATAGGAAGTACACATAAAACCTCATGTGATGTTATCCCATGTTCCCGTATTTCCATATCTATTATTTTTTATCTACGCATTCTACATCCTCCATCATCTCTTTCAATTTGGTACTTTTTTTACTCCTTTTCACTATTTTCTATTTCAGGCCATATACAGGGTGTGCCATTTGAAATAGTACGGCCCAACATCTCTTGTAAGAAGGGAAGAACAGCAAAATTGTTCAAATACAAGTTGTAGGGTTCGGAGGAAGAAACTTAGTGCTGATAGAATCCAGGCCCCCATTGCTTATGTTTCTATGCTACGAGCATAAAGTCAGTTTTTTTAAATGGCAACAATATTTTTCACCCCTACAACAGTTGTTCTTCTCGCCGAGAAAAGTCCAACCATACAATATTTTTCGATGACGTCATCGTTTTCATGTGAATAATCGTACGACAATCAAATTAACGGAAAATACCTTTTGTAAGACTATTAGTAGATATATAAGGCGGGTTCTGGAACAACGTTTCGGGAAGGGTCACGAGGGTCAGTTGGCGAGGTGTCCGAAGGTCTCCCGTGAGTGGGTGGTGGTTGGATAATTGATTAATCGTTTAATTAGTCAGTCGATTTGCGGAATTAATTCGCGGGTTTAATTCATGGGTTCTCCAGTCCAACATTTTTTGAAGGGTCTGTTGGTAAAGGGTCCACCCCGCGAGCGTGTGGTGAGTGGCTAATTAATGAATTCATTCATTTATCCTTTTTGGCAAAGTTCATAAGAGTCTTTTGGTGAGGGATTTCTCGTAAGTGGGTGGCTAATTAATTAAGTAATTAATTCATCAGTTGATCAATTAATAGATTCGCGGAATTAATTCGCGGTTTTTCCAACTCAACGCTTTAGAAAGTATCACAAGGGTCTCCCGTGAGTAGGTAGTGGGTGGCTAATCAATTGATTGGTATTAACATTCCTGGAATTTCCGTCGGGAGCAGCATGAGTCATCGCAGCAGAGGCTTAACGTCATAAATCACCAAATGTCAATTTTAATGCAATTCCAAGAAAAGATAAGAAATTTCACAACTGATCTACTGATCATTTTTCATGTGTCATCACAGAAAGAAATTAAGAATATAGAAACTTTCACTTTTAACTCATTTCAGAAAGACTCAAAAAGCAATCTACAGGCTCGAACGTGATTTTTCCCGGAATTTCATTAAAAAACATGTACGTTTATAGTGGAGGGTTCAGAAAAAAAAACTCACAAATATAATTTTGGATATAAAATTCTGAGAAAAATCCTCATCACAATAGGTGGTTACAAACAAACGATCGGATATGCCCCCCCTCCCTCCCGCCCTAATAAAAAAATTTCAAAACATGTACACATAAGCCCTCGAAAAATTCGTTAGAAGAGTAGGGTAATTCACTATATAACCTCTCAAGTTCGAAAGCATAGCATCAGTTTACTTTTTCCTCTGCTCATGAAGAGTTACTTCATTCGACGTCAACAACAAGCATTCAAGAGAGTGTCCATACGCCAGCAACAAGAGTTAAAAAATAGGTTGGAACGTCTACTGAAAGACATTGAAAAATTGAAAAAAATAATCGAGTTGAAAAGTGACGTCGAAGTGTTTGCTCAAATCTCCAACAGACCAACATTATAGAACCAACATTAGGAACTTCGATAAATTTAACAGTGTCTCGAAGAAGGAGAGTCTTCCTCTGCTGAAGATATCGGAATTGGAGTCAAATAAGGTGTACAGCATCACTGCAGTTTACAAACCGAGAACAAAATTCGGGGAGAGCGTACTTTTTCATTTGGATGGTAAACGTGCAGTCTTTGCAACCAATATAACATCGAATTATTTCAACAACCAACCGGAGGAGTGGACGAATTTGCAGTCACTCGTGTTAAAGGGTAAAATGGACCTGAAATACTTGGGTGGTTGATACAACGACTTCATCCTTGGTGAATTCTTGAAGCCAACAGCTCCAGAGGAAAAAGTGAAAGCCAAAACTATTTTGAGAATGGATAAAGAAACAAAAAAAATAAACAACATTTTCATTTCAATTTTTTTTTTAAATGAAAAATTTCTCACTGAAAAAATATTACAATGTAGTAGTTTTTTAAATAATATACGAATAAACGTTGATTACAAAAAAAAAGGTTTTTTTTATTTTTTTCTCAAGAATTATTACATTCCACACAATGTCTTGTCGTAGGGGGGTGGTCCATCAAAAGTATTACCATCGGTAGTTGAATAATGTTCCAAACAACGCCTCCTCTTGATATACCGATCAGCTATCATAGCATCAGTCAACTTGTCCCGAGCTTGATGCACATTGGATGCTGCGATTCAACTTATGAAGGAATGTGGTAGATATGCAATATCCTCACAATCCATCAAATTTAAATTCTTCAATTTGTAGTAAACATCAAGGGACCGATCAGTAGATCGTACAATTTTTTCATTCATCATCATCCAGTTCTTGAGGAGTTCTACATTTTTTACAGCACATGTCTTGTTCTCTGTGTAACGATGGTAAGGGCAACTATGAGCTGCTATTTCTTTGAATTTAGTGAGGGGCGGACATTCATCATAACATTCTTCAATGTTAACTACTAGCGGTACTAATACAGGACCGGTAATTTTTTTCAGCCACAGTTTCTTGTCTTCACCTTTCACATAAATTTTACTCATAATTTCCCACTCTTGCACCAATTGTTCATCTTGATCGTATGGTCGAGTCCCATAGTACCAAGATAAACTATGATAATGACGCTCGAGCCACAGATTTATACTTGTATACTTTGCTGGTGACCTGGAGAATGCAAATGGAGGGCTGAAAAACCACACTGTCGGGTCCCAATCTCCAGACTTCAAAATTGTGTATGCGAATTCTTTCACAATAAACTCGTTGAAGAGAGTTTGGAAGCCGTGTACATCCACAAGTACATCCATAATGACTGATACGGTGATGTTCCAAACGCTTCAATATATGCACTTAACCCTATCAATATTGAACGTCTTTTCTTACACCACCAATTATGGGGTGATAATTTACTACTCGATCATGCAAAATGAGGCGGTAAGCAGCGGTGTCTGTGGTAATACTTATTCTCGTTTCAAATTCTAAACGGACATCTACTGGACCAAATTTCAAGGATATCATTTTGTTTTGAACAATCAATTAACACTAGTTGTGTGCTAGCTGAAAATGACATTTTACTTAATAAAGGATTGTTCACTTGTTGATCATAATATAATGATTGAAAGTTTAAATACATATTATAAAGTATAGAATACTGGTTCTTAGCCATATCTACATCTAAATTTCCCTATGGATAACATTGTGAATTTAGGAATATTTTAACATCTGCAATGCTACAATGGTCAAAATTGCTAGCGTTTTTCTTATCCCCATTTTTTCACGAGGTTTGGAAGCCTAGAATGACAACGCGGTTTCTCAAGTTGGGTCGCGGTTTTCACCGTCCACACGTATTTTGATGGCTCCGGAAGCATGGGATACTCATATAACTCCTATGATCTGAAGCTCATCGATATTGCAGGATCTTTTTGGATGGAATTTAGCAACTCAATTCTTTTAGTATCTGATAATGTCACATATGGGTTCGACCACTTAATTTTGCTGAAGGTGACTTTCACATCTTCCTGTTCCGTTTGAACGGTAGCATTATGATCAGTACGAGCTCTGATTAAAATCAGCTGATATTTTACATTAACCATAATTTTTCGATAATCTTCTGCGAACCTCAACAGCATACTTAATGGGATAGAAATATCGAAGCAGCCTCCATCATCCGCCAAACTCAATTTCTCTTCAACACCCAACCATCCTGCATTTTCCATCCAGAGACTTCGATTCGGGGTTAATGAGACTAGATTTTTCATGAGTGTAGTGATACCCACATTCTTGACTTTATCAATCTCAGTAGCATTAATTTCATAGCGGATCTCCTGGAATAGATGACAAATGGCGTTATTGAAAAACGTAAGAGTCGCCTTCGAGTTATCAGATTTTAGTAGTTTACCAGTAATCGGCAAATGACTTGCTTGGTAAAGTGCAGAGATCCTGATTTTGTATTGTAATTCGAATTTCATCGCTACTATCAAGCCCTGTGGAGGCATGTGGCTGAACTGCACGGATCTCGTAGAGGGAAATGGATTCTTCAAACACTGGAGGGATTTTTATATTCAGGATTTCCTCCATTGTATCCATCAAGTCAATAAAACTTTTATCTGGAAAAACCGTTTATACCACTTTTTTCACGATGAGACCGAGACTCTTGAGATACTTCACGTTCTGAGGCATTAACACTTTGAAACCAGCACGTGAACTGATTGAAGCGAGGCATGGTTGGTGCGATGATATACAATTCCCATGATTATGAAATAACCTTGATGTGTAGTTGAATTGATTATTTCACCCCTGAAATTCACCAATTCACCGTCGTGATCAACAATTCGGAGTTGTAAGTCGGTTATCGTTCTCACAGACATTGGTAAATAAATAACTTGTGATGACACT